CACTGTCAACTAAATTATTAACACTGTCAAATAAATTATTAACACTGTCAAATAAATTATTAACACTGTTAAATAAATTATTAACACACATGGTATTGAAATATATACAATGTTCAATTTACCAGAAGATGGTTGAACTGTTGTAAGATCTATGAAAGATGTTGTCCCATCTGTTGGGTAAGTAAAAGGAAGAAAAATTAAATGGAATTTAGCATCCTACATTTATGCACCAAGGTGTTGTCCCTTCTTCAGCTGTTTGGTTAGGAAAGGAAGAAATGTGAAATCAATTAGGTTTAACATCCCCATCTTATGCACCAAACACGATAATAATGACAGGCATATCCCATGCAGTGAGCTATAAGTGAAATGTTGCCCATACAAGAGCATTTCTGCATACTCTTTGAATTTAAGGGTTCTTTAACGTGCACACCAACAGGCATACTAGGCCATTGTTGTTTTTTTTTTGTTCCATTTAAACAAATAGTAATTGTTTCTTGTCAGACCCTCTATACTGTACCTCTGATAAGTGGAAACCACACTAGAAAATGCAAGGGACTTTCTTGGCTAACATCGGAATCAAACCTGGAACCTCCTGGTTAATGTTCTAGCACCTCACTCACTGAGTTACCAGAAATGAAGGAAAAAGAGCTCAACATGTCATCCACACAATAATTTGGTCATTTTGAGACTAACATATGTGACAATATACATTTTTTTAAAAGATAGTTATATCTAAGAAAAAAGATTGAAAATTACTGAAACAAACAAAACAAGTCTCAACAGCAAATATAACACTATAGGGTTATTTTAGGTCTAAGAAAAGTGTTCTGTTTAATATAGAAATCTTTACCTACATGATGTGTGACAAAAACTAGGGTAATGAAGTAGCTTGCATTACTCTGCTACTATCTTAGACTAACTCAGAGACATTTATGTCAGTATCCATTTCTGGAAAGTAGGGTGCTATCGTCTAGTCATCTTGTGCACGGATTAGTCCAATTAAATAGAATAACGTTGACTTTAAACGGTGCCTATATGAAACACTTACCCAAAAATGGTAATTGTCCCGCCCTTATAGATGACGCATTACAAACATTTGGTTTCAGATTGCTAATTCTATCCCCAATGACATTTGGTTTCAGACTGGTAATCCTCTCCACAATGACAATTTGGTTTCAGACTGGTAATCCTATCCCCAATGACATTTGGTTTCAGACTTGTAATCCTAACCCCAATGACATTTCGTTTCAGACTGGTAATCCTATCCCCATTGACATTTGGTTTCAGACTGGTAATCTTATCTCCAATAACATTTGTACATATCTAGATCAAAGAGTTTACAAAATGACAGGCAAACGGGTGGGGGAAGGGAAGCAGAAGGGAGAAAGAAAAAATTGCTGTAAACATATGAACTACATCAGTGAGTATCTAGATAAGGGGAAGTAATTACTAGTCTTAGCCCATTTTTCAGATGACCTAGTTATTTTGGGTGAATGTGTAACCCTATTTCTCTTTATCTCATCTCATGTCAATGTCAATCTAACCCAGATAGAAAAACAAATATTAGAATTATTTTTTAGATGTTCCTTAATTATATTTACATGTTTCTAGGCAAGTTCAACCAGTTTGCTTGCTCATATACAGATACACATACAGTGCAGTTTGTACATCTTAACTTTACATTAATTACATCATTATATATGTAACATACATCATAACTATAATCATATACATTTGTATAAAATATATATCATAACTTTACATGAATTGCATAATCATATATATATAACATATATCATAACTTTACATTAATTACATAATCTATGTAACATATATATAATAAAATGAAATGGGGTTTAGTGTTCTACTGTTCTGGTCCGAATGGACTAATGAAGACGGGTGAATATGATACAGTTTGCTATGAGGGAAATTTTGCCAATGTGTACACAGGACCTCAGTTTTTCATTCCATTCGAACGAGTATACATTGGCCCTCCATCCTGCACGACTGACAAGGGGGAACAATGACAGAAAATCCTGATGAACTTTCCCAGTCAGTCCAGGTTAGCGAGCCAATGCAGCTCTCTAACATATACATATTTTATTCATGAGTGTATTAGCTTGTTGAACAAGGGGGCTGCAACTCTCCTAAATGTCCACAAAGTAATTTGTATTGGACTCTATTGGAGTGCAAATTAAGTAAAAAAAATTAGACATTGTCAAAAAAAATCCCAAAAATGACTTTAAATGATTATACAAAAAGCTGTGTTAATTTGTAGAAATAACAGAATGTTTAGGGTAAATTTATATCTGTAAAAGTCATCAGGATTAGGCCATAAAAAAAATGTTCTAGTTCTCAGACAATCTGATGTGGAAGGGAGAGAGAGAGAAATGGGGTTTAACGTCCACTCAACACAAACTAGGTCACTTCGGGACCAACATATGGTTTGATTTTATTTCAATAATTCGCTTGCGCGTAGGGGTCTTTAGCAGTGGGAGAAAACCGGAGGACCCAGAGAAAACCCATGAGGTTTAACAGGCGACCCTACTCCTTGTCACGTACAACCGGGGATTCGAAACCACGCCAGTTGACTCAATGACAGGCTTTATGATACAGCACGCACATGCTAACCATTCGGCCATCCAACACCCCTAATGTGGAAGGGAGGTTGTAAACTTGATAATGAGTCTACGATAGAGTTCTTGTTTCATTCAGGGTAAGATGCTGGCTTGCTAGTCTGGAGGTTGCGTGTTCGATCCCTGCATTGGCTGAGAAAGTCCATCAGGATTTTCCGACATGGTTTCCCCTTGTCAGTGGTGCAAGATGGAGCACTGACAAGGACAGCTGTCTAGCCATTTGGACAGGACGAAAATCTGAGGACCGAAATTACCCAACAAGATGGCCGCTCCTTGTACGCAAATAGTATAAAAGTGTTAATATGTGCGCATATTTGACCGTAACTTCCTGAATTATGACACCTGATTGTATGAAAAATCGCTTTTTATTTTAGCTTATTCACTGTCCATCTTTTGCAAAATGTGGGTGTATCTTGCCTGTCAACTGCTTGTTAAGTCAGGCAGGTGTATCTAAAAACCAGAATATTTATTGTTCATGGCCTTATTACCAGTCCGTGTCTGTTTTCTTAAATAATTATAAATATGTTAAAGATGTATATCATAAGACAAGAATAACAGAAATGGATGGGGAATATTATTAATGAAAATACTCCATATTGTTATAGACATGTATATACAATTTGTGATATTTATACAAGATGGTGAGAACAGACTCCAAACATTATTTGAACTCCTTGCATTTTTCTTTAATCCCTAATTTCTAAATGTGGCTAAAATCTGTTTGATTTTGTATAATGGAGAGTTTTAAATCGTGTCCACATTTCTTTTATAAGCATTTAGTAATTGAACATATTAACACAAGGTACAATTTTATGAATACACAATTACTGATTTTATAACTATGCAACATTTCGAAGAGGATACTTTCATCTTTATCTAGCAAATGATGCAAATATGTGAATAGAAGACAAATATATACAGAATATGCAACAAAAATACCAATCAAATACTTTTGTTAGGGGGCCATTTACAACTAAACCAACAAGAGGAACCCCTTCTAGGTAATTTAGGTGTTCACAAAAGGTGTAATTGAGTAATTAACAGACTAATTAATTACTCAACACTGCTTAGGAAACTAAACAATTATCCCAAAATTATCTAATCTAGACAGACCATTTTAAACTACTGGACAGTAGAAACCCAATAGTTTCCCATCATTCTCAATGAATTTGAACATTTTGCCAACAATGGTTGAAACTAAGCATTAAATACAGAAACTCCCACTAAAACAGCACAACTACATGATAGCCAGGTTGAAAGTGTATGACCTGGTAAGGAATTGTGTCTAGTCCTTGAGATAGGACAAAATACTAAGGTCCTGTGTATACCATTGGAAGCATGTTAAAGATCCCCTGACACTTGGAAAATGAACGAAGAGTAGGGTCTAGTGCCGCCTTCATGACAAATTTCACACAGAGCGTATGCAGGTCTTCCTTAATCTGTTTAGTGCAGAAAAGTAAGACATTTCATTTTACTGGTAGTTTAGTAGCACTATGGTTTTTACTTGGATACAGAAGCTAGAAGTATTTGATAACCTGGTATCAATGGCTACCAGCTGCCACAAGTCAAGTTGTTTATATGATTGATTTGAAGATATTTGTGATAAATACAGACAGTGTTTTATGAAATTAAGGAAAGCTAGAATCTGGTCTGGTTTCCGTCTGTCTGTAAAACAATTTGATCAGCTGACATTGTCTAGTTTCTTATTGGGTCTGGTTAACATAAAAACAGAAACACAACAAATTTGTTATAGAAATTATAGCGCATGTGGTATAACTGGAACAAAATTGTGGGCTGTCATTAAAATGACAGGGCATATTAATATATATTGTTGTTATCAAAACTATAGGGCACATGGTCTAACTGAAACAAAATCTTTGGCTTTGGGTCCCTTGACAGTTGGAATTTGATATAGGAGTAGGCCGTAGCGCCACTGTCTGGGCAAAATGTCCCTCATAGAACACTGCATGGCGTATGGATGTTAAACCCCATTTTATTTTATTTAAATTGGCTCAGTGAATAAGATGATAGTTTGCTAACGTGGAGGTCTTGTGTTAAATCTCGGTGTTCGCAGAGAAAGTTCATCAAGATTTTTCAGCATGATTCCATCTTGTTAGTGGTGTAGGAAGAAGTCGTTTGGATGGGACGAAAAAGCTGAGATTCTGTTAACATATTAATGTGCATGTAATAAAAAAACCTTCACAGTTGGAATTTGAAATAAAAGTAGGTCATACTGTTGCTGTCCGAGCAAATCTTCCCTCATAGCACATTGTTTGGCGTATGCTTGTCGTAATTAGCCCGGTCAGAGCAGAACAGTAGGTTAACCCCATTTAATTTCATATTTATATTTAAATGTTTTTTCAGAAGAAAATGTAGATTGGAGAGAAGAAGATCAAAAGATGAAATTAAAAGTTTGCGTCAGAAATGGCGGAAAGTGCGACAAACAATTCGTAAACAAAGAGAACATAATCAACGTGTGGCAGAAATGTTAAAAAAACAGAAAGAAAAAAACAGACGACGATCTCCGAAAACAACCGATTATCCTAGTTACGATAAGAAAATATCAAACAAGATGAAAAGAACAAAGAGAGCTGCAACTGCTCGACCCGAGAGACTCTGGGATTATGCTGTTATACCGTACGAAATAGAAACAAACTTTACTGGTAGGTATATTAGAGTTATTTTTATTATCGCATGCAGGACAGGGTTAGTCCCTGTATTCCTTTCCAACAGCGATTTTTTATATTTCCATGTGTACAGAAAAATTACTGAAAGGTTTGGGGAACCCCATGCAAATGATGTACTGAGTGAGGATTTCTCTTTACAGCCTGAGCATTGTTAATGTTCAGTCAACGCCATTTTATTATATGCCCACATCCGTCCATTGTCCATAATTCCTTGTGAACGCTCTAAAGGCTAAATTATTTTCCGATCAATTTGAAATTAATATATGTTGTTGACATTAGTGAGACGAAGAAGGTTATTGAATTTCAGCAATGTCCACTAATAACTTCGAGAGTTATGGCCCATGTTTTACTTTGTTGAACCTTAAATTGTGAATGCTCTAATCACAAAAATTTCTTCCGATCTGTTTTATATTAGTAAAAGAACAAGCCTATTGAATTTCAGCAATTTCAGTGTATAATTTTTAGAGTTATGACCCTTGTTTCACTTTGTTGAACCTTGTGAATGCTCTAACAACTAAAAGTTATCAACCAATCGGTATTGAATTTGTATGCATTAATTAAATTAGTAAAATGAAGATGCTCATAGAATTTCAGCAATTTCTCGTAATAACTTCTACAGTTATGGCCCTTATTTCATTTTGTTGAACCATGTAAACACTCTATTGATAAAAGAGTTATCATCCGATCTGTTTGAAATTGATATCAGTGTCTTGTAAAAGCTCTCATTACCTACAAAAGAATAAATATGCGACAACCCTTTTTGATTGCTCGAAGTATTTAGGTTCTGTGGCTGTATGTTTTGTTGCCTGACAACCTATCTTAATAACAACATGTCCAAAAAGTCTGCCATTTGCAAGCTGAATTTGCGGAAACAAGAGCAGTTGATTGACTCCATGGAAGAAAACCTGTGTTTGTACGCCAGAATGTAACCATCCGCATGTGCACCAGCATCACTCATTGAGTAACTTTTAAAACCCTTACATGAAAATCGTCCGATTACATTTGCATTATACTGACTTTTTCGTTGTTGGAAATGCTGAGATGTAAAGCAGGCCTTAGGGAGGGTTATTACAATGGGCTATGTCCTTCCACCTGTTCATTCCTCCTTCCTGATTTTTACTATGGACCATATCTCTTAAACGGGTAAAGATATCTTTTATGACACTTTCATCAGTTCACGTTTTATTGGTATGATAACTATTTATTATTGCATGCTGAATTACTGGAGGAATATTGAAACAAGCTCAGTCCATCCTTCCATCCTGGTTTTGCTTCAGGAGCATTTCTTTTCAACTGTTAAGATATCTGTATGAAACTTTACACACATCAATTTATTATAGTAGTTGTACCTTTACGTATTAGAAATTTCTTGGATTCGATAATTTTGTCTGTCTGTAGAAACAAATTTTACTTAGTTTTTTTATACAGCTTTTATTCTGGAGCACATCTCATAAGATATCTTTATGGAACTTTTCAAAGTATTTTGCTAAGTGTGTTAATTATCTTAATGGAATGTTAACTAATTTATCTGAGTACTTTAACATGGATTAAGCCGTGAAAAAGTAAATACTGTCCAACCAAATGCAGCAGCTTTCATTCTCGTACTAAATATATAAAAATATGAAAGCTTTCACAACCTACATTTGTTATTCTTCATTCCAACCAAAAGAGGTTATATCTTAAATTGTAATTTACAGACACAAGACTGAATAGTTGAGAAATTGTATATGACATTTGCTGTTAGTCTGCGAACATTTTTCATCTACTAAAAAATAACAAAATTTTAAATCCTTCATTTTGTAACATCTAGAATAACTGAGAAATAATTTGCATGCCGCTGTCACTTGTGGAGTTTAATGTGTTTCTTTAATATATTCTCATTCTCCACGTCAAATTGTTTGTGAGAAAAACATCAAACTCTACAATTTCACTCCAGATTATTGAAACAAAAGACATTTGTTTTAAGTTAACATACATGCTATATTTCATTTATATCTCTAGTTGAAAACTGAAAGTGGGACTAGTCAGTCAGTTTAATACTATGCATAGCACTGGATATTATGTATAAAATAAGATTTTATTGCATCAAAACAATTAAGTCCAATAGAGAGAGAGAGAGAAATGGGGTTTAACGTCCACTCGACACAAACTAGGTCATTTCAGGACTAACATATGGTTTAATTTTATTTCAATAATTCGCTTGCGCGTAGGGGTCTTTAGCAGTGGGAGGAAACCGGAGGACCCGGAAAAAACCCACGGGGTTGGACAGGCGACCCTACTCCTTGTCACGTACAACCGGGGATTCGAAACCACGCCAGTTGACTCAATGAAAGACTTTATGATACAGCGCGTGCGTGCTAATTACCATTCAGCCATCCAACCCCCCAAGTCCAATAGAATAGAATACAAAATTGCAAAAGTTAATAACAAGCAATGTGGAAATATACCTGTGATGTGATAAAGAAATATTACATGCGATATGAATAATATAATATTAGGATAAATAAATATAACATGTGATATGAAAAATGTAATATAAGGATAAATGAATAATGTATGTAATATCAGGTTAAATATATATAACATGTGATATGAAGAATGTAATAATATGATCAATGAATATTACATGTAAATAATGTCATAATAGTATGAATAAATATAACATATGATATGAATAATGAAATAATAACATGAATAAATAAGCTTATTACATGTTATGTGAATAATGTATTAATATGATATTACATGTGATATGAGTAATGTAATAATAGGATATTACATGTGATATAAATAACATAATAATATAATAAATAAATATTACATGTGATATGAATAGTGTAATTAGTGCTATAAAAAGCTTGATATAAATAATAGTGTTGGTAATATCTAAAATCAACATTATTATATTTTCAAAAGAAAAAAAAAGTGAACATTTCATATGATAATAAAACCATACAAAAATACATTTGCCATTCATTTCCAGCACTAAATGTAGCAATTACTGCATGCATCCCAGTTAAATTTTAATTATAAAGGTATAATAAGTGTAATGAGGAAAATATATATGTACATCATGTTTTCTCAGACACTTAAAAATGTCTGACAGATTTTTGTTTCTCAATTAATGAACAAAATAATGAAGTATTGGCCCATTAATTAATATGTTAGATATTTTTAGTAAAATATTGTGATTTATAGTTGTGAAATGTTTTGCAAAAAACAGATATTAATGGTGATTTGAGATGCATAGCTGGACCGGAAAATAACATTTAATTCCATTAGCAACATCATCTCAAATTTACATGTTTCCTTGGTTTTATTACCACCACAATATTTTTTGATATTGAAAATAATGGTTAGGAGTAGTACATGTATGGTATATATACCAACAATATTCTTTAAATAATCTAAATTTCTAAACATTGCGCTGTCTTCACTTAGACAATAAGAGACCTTACTTATTAAAATGTTTAAAAACATGCGTCTGATACATGTAGGCCTATATGTCTGACTTTATGTTTTTGAGAAAGTATGATAGGGTGAAACTACTTTGAAAGATGTTTTTGAGAAATTATGATAGGGTGAAACTTATACGAAACTAATTGAGGTAGAATGTTCAAACTTGGTGTTGATGTTCATTAAGTGGATGTCTTGACTGAGGTCGATCACTAACATTATCTTCTCAGGTTATTCAGAAGTATAGATGTGCTTATAATTTATGTGTCAATTTTAGGATTTTGTCAGTGGTGCATGACCTGACAAGGACAGCATCTAGTTGTTTGGATGGAATGGAAAACTGAGGTGCTGTGTACATATTAGCGTGCCTTATAAGAACCCTTGACAGTTGAAATTCGATTAAGGGTTGGAATTTAATATAAGATTGGGCAGTAGCCCAGTGGATGCATCATATATATATTTGAAAGAATTGTTTTTGTTTTTTGTTTTACAGGTCCTCATAACACATTATTTTTGTTTTACAGGTCCTCATAATGCATTATTTTTGTTTTACAGGTCCTCATAATGCATTATTTTTGTTTTACAGGTCCTCATAATGCATTGTTTTTGTTTTACAGGTCCTCATAAAGCATTATTTAAATTAGCCATGAGACATTGGGAGAATCATACATGTGTTACATTCATTGAGAAGAAACCAGAGGATCAAAATTATATCGTATTTACTGAAAGGCCTTGTGGGTAAGTCGGTTGGTTAATACACAGTCCATGCTGAGGGGTTGTGTGTGCACAGATGGTTTGTGTGCCACTAATGTTAGGGTTGGAACTTGAAGGGGTTTCATTCACTTCATTGCAACAATTTTGAAAAATGGTAAAATTGAGGCAGAGTTTTCTAGTAGGTTAATCTGAGAATATTTCTAAAAGGTAATAACTACAATGATGATATAAATATATTGTTATTTTTAGATGTTGCTCGTTTGTTGGTAAACGAGGTAATGGTGCTCAAGCTATATCTATTGGTAAAAATTGTGATAAATTTGGTATTGTTGTTCATGAACTTGGCCATGTGATCGGTTTCTGGCATGAACATACCCGAACAGATCGTGATGAGAATGTGCAAATTGTTTATAAAAATATCATGCCAGGTTAGTATGTTGAGGCATTTTTTAAATCCTTGTTCTGTCGCCAGTGGATTGTTGATTATCCATGGTACATTATTCCGTAGCTTATCCTCTTCCAACTCATTTATACGTTTTAGATCATAATGTCTGTCAATGAGTCTATTGGCATGGTTTTCAGCCTAACATGGGACATCGGTCAGTTTTCTGCAGGTCTTCCCACTTATACGCTTTAGATAATAAGGTCTGTCAATGAGTTTAGTGGCATGGTTTTGATCCCACACTTTAGACATCGGAGGGTTTTCTCCAGGTCGTCCCACTTATATGCTTTAGATGATAAGGTCTGACAATGAGTTTAGTGGCATGGTTTTGATCCCACACTTTAGACATCAGAGGGTTTTCTCCAGGTCGTCCTACTTATATGCTTTAGATGATAAGGTCTGACAATGAGTCTAGTGGCATGGTTTTGAACCATCACTATGGACATCGAAGGGTTTTCTCCAGTCCTCACACTGCTAAAACATTCCTACACACAAACAAATTATTGAAATAAAATTGAACCATTTCTCCCCAGCAAATACAATATACATTGTCTGTGCAATGTAGCCTACATTGATACTGGTCTGTACAAGTTACATCAACACTTGTCTGTTATGACGTGAAAAGTACATTGACCCCCAGCTTATGCACTAATAATTGTGTCGTTTAACATGGGTTAGCAATTAAGTGATTTTTAACAAACCTTGTTATTAAGCTATACAGTATTATCTCCCCTTAGCCTTCATATCTTTTCTTTGTAAATAAAATGAGATGGAGTTTAACCTCCTACTTTCTGCACCAACCAGCCTAATCAAAACAGAATATTTTCTATATAATAATAATAAAAATAATGAGTATATTTATAATGCGCTATATCCATAAACCAAGTTTATGCTCAAAGCGCTACACAATTATTATCCCGGTCTCTAGGATACAGGTAAAGCCTGATTACCTCCCTTTACCCCTGAACTCTTAGAAAGAGCCCCAACATATGCTGCTTCAAGGAGCGCAACAGTTTTTTGTATAATACATACACCATCCTACCGGTACCCATTTACAGCTGGGTAGACTGGAATACAGGGATAAAGTGTCTTATTCAAGGACACAAGAACTCGGCGCACAATTCGGGTCTCGAACCTGCAACCATTCGGTCACAAATCCTACTCTCTAACCATTGCGCCAAATCCCTCCCCAGTTTCAACATTGTAATGGATGATAGCGACTAATAATATTGACATTTAATAATGGTTTTACTGATCTTTAAAAAAAAAAAAATCCCATTAACCTATTCTCCAGTCTTCAGATATCCTTTATGTACTGTTTCAATATTGCTGTCTTCATTAGCCCAGTTTGGAGCAGAACAGTAGGACGTTAAACCCCATTTCATTTCATTTCGTTTCAATATTGTAATTTTATGTGAACAGGACAAGAGTATAATTTTAACAAGTTGAATCCGATGGAAGTGAACTCACTTGGAGAAGAATATGATTACGGCAGCATTATGCACTATGCTAGAAACACCTTTGCTAGAAATACATTTTTAGATACAATTCTACCAAAACGCAAAACTGGGATGCTGGTCCGTCCGGATATTGGTCAAAGAATCCAACTGAGTCCAGGAGATATACGTCAGGCTAAAAAATTATATAGATGTCCAAGTAAGTTCTGTGATTATTTTTCTTTGATATTTGTTTTTTTAAAGATGCATTATGTAAGAGCTAAATCTGCCTATTACAGGGTTTTATTTTGTTCAAATGATATTATTTAGACATTTATTAATATGACAAGTCTCGATTAACAAGTGACGCTGCTGTGATAATAAAATCTAAGCCAAAGTTTCAAACAGTGATAGCTTCGATCAGAATGAAGTAATTTGAATGAAATTTTCAGTATATTACTGTTGAATTATCCATGCTCAGCTCTTTATCTAAATCTTACATAATGCATCTTTAAAGGAACAGTCCAAGTTTTCACAAGGTCACAATTAAAATCTGTTTAAAGTGGATGATATCTAATTTACCATGCTTTAATCCACGCTGAAATGTAGTCAAATTGATTGTTCAGATTTAATCAGTGTGAAAAGAGGCCAATCAAAACATTTTACCCCCAAACCTGGTAAGTGAACAACTGAGCCAATATTGGCCCAGAATAGGAAGGAATGAAGGTTAAAATCACGTAATTTTGAGACTAACAAAGAAAGGAGAATTTTGCCCAGACAGCAGTACCACAACCTACTCTTCATTAAAACATGGTGTTAAAATATCTGGTACAATATGAATGTTTTATTGTGTACACTATTTCAGCTTGTGGAAGAACTTTACAAGAATCATCAGGAACATTTCTTCACAATCCGAAATCTGGATTAGGTGAAGTTTGTCAGTGGAGAATATCAGCCACCCATGGAGAAAAGATTGTGTTGAATATCTCGAAGTTAGAACTACCTGTATCCTATAATTGTCAAACAGATTATCTTGAAGTTCGAGATGGTTATTACATTAAGTCGCCATTACTAGGTAAGTTATCATATTAAGTCACTGTTTCTAGGTAACTTATTACATTAAGTCCCTATTAACAGGCTGTTATCACTGTTACCAGGTAACTTATTACATAACTGGTAACTTATTACATTAAGTTACCATTATGTCCAATATCAAAGGGTAAAGTGATTATGTACTTGAAATTTCCACCAACATTTTAAACCCTAACCCTGAGTGTAACTTTAACCAATTAACACATATTGCCTGGGGCCAGTTGTTCAAAGCTCTGTTAACACTTATAACGACTCGTTAACATGGAGTTAGCGGATGGTTAATTTTAGCGAAGAGAAAGTCTGATGCCCTGTAAACTTTAACCTGCCGTTATATTTAACAAAGTCAAAGTATACCCTTAGCAGGATTTCCTAGAGAATACCAGTGTAGGTTTCTATAGAACATTCTGGGGGGTTGGATGGCTGAATGGTTAGCGTGCGCGCGCTGTATCATAAAGTCTGTCATTGAGTCGACTGGTGTGGTTTCGAATCCCCGGTTGTACGTGACAAGGAGTAGGGTCGCCTGTCCAACCTCGTGGGTTTTCTCCGGGTCCTCCGGTTTCCTCCCACTGCTAAAGACCCCTACGCGCAAGCGAATTATTGAAATAAAATTTTAAAAACCATATGTTAGTCCCGAAATGACCTAGTTTGTGTCGAGTGGACGTTAAACCCCATCTCTCTCTCTCTCTATAGAACATTCTAGAGAGGATATTAAATAATGATTAATGCATAATGAAATTGACTTTCCAGCAAAAGAAATTAACGGGCAGTTAAAAAACGGCACATTAGCAATATAGCGATCTGTTTAAATAACTGAGTTTTGATCAACCGGCCCCTGGTGTCCCAAAAATATCAATCTACATAAATTTTGACCTTGATAATATTATTTGTTTTCTAAGGTCGTTTCTGTGGTGATAAACTACCTGAAACCATGGTTTCGACAGATACCAGGATGTGGATTGAATATAGAACTAATCATGGCTATGGCAAGGGATTCGTAGCAGAATATGAAGGTACGTGTAAATACAAAGTACTTAAATGTGACTAAAGTCACTACTCTTAACATATAAATATTTAACCTTAACAACACCATGATGGTACTTTTACGTGAATTTTACGTTGAAATGGTTGGTCGGTTTACTATCATTTTGCTCATCTTTTTAATGTTAATTGAACATGATAAATGTTAGAAAATGATTTTGGTCTAATGTAAATTTTGGTTAATGTGACTAAAGTGACTGCTTATTAAAATGGGTTTGCCGAGGGTTGGACGGGAAAGTATTTTCAGATTTTTATAATGCTAACACCATACCCACTGAACCCCTGTTGTGGTTTGTTGAAAGGGAAATTCCTTGTTATATGTATTTATATATTATGACTTCCTGTTTCTTCTAGCCATATGCGGTGGAGAGATTCTTAAAGACTCAGGACATCTGACCTCACCAAATTATCCAGATGAATACAGACCAAATAAGGAGTGTGAATGGAAAATAATTGTCGCCGAGAAATATTCTGTAGCTCTCAAGTTTCAGTCATTTGAGGTAACTCCATTTAATCAATTTTATGGACAGTATGGACAATAAATCTTTGAGTGAATTAAAATACTATTTACTAATTTTATGGACAATATTGGCACATCTGCAGAAAATAGCACCTATGGTTAGCTCTGCAATTGCGCCCCTGCCTGAACATCTGACACCTAATTTTTTAAATAATTTTACCATAAAATCAGCTCAGAAATACTAACATTTTTTCCTGTATGCGCAACATGGGTGTTGTCCAGGGAATCCAGTATTTTTCTAGTAAGACTTTTATTGAAAATAACCACCTGATAAATACTTTTCTGGGAAAGTATCTTTAATGAAATGTTATGGTTTAATTTTTTGGGAAAATGCTAGACCGATAGCTGATTGTTTATGATACTTTCAGATAGAGAATCATGACAACTGTGTCTATGATTATTTAGAAGTGAGAGATGGACACGAAGAAACCTCACCTCTCATTGGTAAATACTGTGGCTACAAGATACCTGATGACATCAAATCAACGGGAAATAAACTTTACGTTAAATTTGTATCAGATGGATCCGTACAGAAGGCTGGTTTTGCTGCATCCTTTGTAAAAGGTTTGTAGGATTGTATCTGTGTGTTTTGTGTTGTCCAGGGTTTATTTCTTTAAAACAAAACCCCCTAAAACAACTGAATTTTTAACATAGAGTTTTAATGATTCATGTCTGTGCATTATTTTTCACTCTAATGGCTTCCATGATTTTTGTAGGATTAGTGTGCATCTGTTATTTTTTTGGTGTCCTTTTAAAGATGTATTCTTTCATGTATAATTAGGTTATCTATTTATAAAACTTGGAAGAAAAAATGAATTTTTAGAATAGAGTTTTAATGACTTATGCCTGTAATGATTTCCTTTATTTTTATTAGTAGCATCTGTTATTTTCTTTTGGTATCCATTTAAAGATGTATTCCTTCAACTTTAATTTGGTCATCTAAATCATTTAAAGATGTATTCCTTCAATTTTAATTAGGTCATCTGATCCATGTAATGATATTTTCTTCAACTGTAATTAGGTCATCTAATTCATTTTAAGATGTATTCCTTCAACTTTAATTAGGTCATCTAATCAATTTAAAGATATTGCTTGAACTATAATTAGGTCATCGGGTCATCTAATCCATTTAAAGATCTATTCCTTCATGTGTAATTAAGTCTTTTAATCCATTTGAAAATATTTCTTCATATTTAAGTAGGTCATCGAATCAATTTGTAAAGCTTGGATTAAAAAGGCCCACATTGAATTTTAATTTGACTGTTTTGTTTTAAAGTTTTATATTTTAAAGAAAAGAACCCAGCACTTTATGAAGCCTGTGCACAACCTACTTGTAGTATCTTTAGATTTGTAGATAGTTTTGTTATTTTGTATTATAATTAGCTACCATGTTCAATCCGCTTATTTTTTATATAAATAACACACAAAACTTTATGAATGATTGTTAAAAACATTGCTCCTATTTCATTAAGTAATTGTATTCCATAAAAGCTTTGTGTATACACATTGGCGTGAATGTAAAAGAACCCTTAAGAGTTGGAATTTTAAGTTTCCCTCATGGCACACTGCATGCCACATGCCCGTCTCCATTAGCCCAGTAGGAGCAGAACAGTAGAACTTAAAACCACATTTCATTTCATTTCATTTTATTTTGTGTTTTATTTTATGTGACCAATTACTAAAATCCACTTAGCTGCCATATTCCTCAGCTAATTCAATACTTATTTATTTATGTTTCTTAATAAAATTGTAAAAATTAAAAGAATAAATATTTAGACCATACAGCTTAAATTTAGTAGAAATGAATTTAAACAAAAGATTGTCTTCACAAACCGTGATGAAAATTATACTATTAAATTTGCTGATTGAAATTTTGGGAATTTTGAATCTTCTTATCCAAAGATTATCTTTTGTTTATTTTTTTGATTTATTTTCTTAATCAAACGTAAAATAATCAATTTAAGTACATTTTTTGCATGGATTAAGTTTGAAGTATGATTATAAAATTCACGTTCTGGTTCCGCAACGTAATTGATGGTCAATCTGGCTTGTGAAGACAAACACTGTAAAGAAAACACAGACGGTGTGATCATTTTAGGATTGTAATTATCTCCCTTAAATGCATGTTTTTACTAACTCACTAATTATTTACCTTCCTTCTTGCTTGTTGCATGTGGCGTGTTGTGTTATATATACAATTTTTTTAGCATGAATAATGACAGATATATTTTAACAGCCAGCATCGTTACTTTTAAGTTCATGTGGAGCGACGAATGTTGCGGAGTCCTTTTTCTTACATCATTGGATGGACAGTTACTTGGATTGATATATTTATTAACAGACGACTGTTTATTTGTGGGAGTTATACCTCTAAATCTTCAGTATTGTGGGAGTTGAATCTCTAAATGGAAATACATGCAGGCCAGGAAATAACAGTTTTATATGTACCTGACATTCTGTCAGGCACTAATAAAATAACGTACTGACATTTTTAACTTAGTGCCAGACATGTATTAATAATATCAATAAAAAAGACAAATCAGTGCCGGACAAAATGACAAACACCAGAGGTTTAGTGCCTGACAAAGCCTGACATTGTCTGTGACAGGTGCCTTATTTCCAGGCTTGATGGATCATATTTTGGGTACAATTTGATCTAAATATATTCTATGGTGGATAAAGGAATGTCTATCAATGTATAGACATACACCCCTCAATAAAGTATGGAAAATTTTCATATTTATTTCTGTTGTTTCAATTGAAATCTAGGAACCACTGTTATATGCATCTAACATGCCTTTGTTTTATGAATTTAATACTGTCTTACTTGCTGTCACTGGAATAGTTCTCAGCTGATCTCAAATAATATACTACAGAAAAACTGCTGTTTACTTTCTCTACCAAACTTTCTTCTATTTGAACCATTTCTTTTATTCCTTTCTATTCAGCTTCACTTCTGTCCGAATGGCAACAGGAACCACTGGATTGTATAGTTTCAGAACACAAAACTGTCTTTCTAAGGCCTCATATAAGCCAAAATGTAGTTCAGGGGACTACACAGTTTTAGTTTGCTTTTGTTGGAATTGGAAGAAGATTTCACATAGACTTTGCTCTCGCAGAAGACCAGTGTCGCCGTCTGTAACCTGAAATTTTTTCTGGCATTTCAGTTTCTGCCCCCCCCCCCCAACTCTCATCCAGCCCGTACGACTATGGCCCTATGCTTTAGCCTGTCAAACCTATAGGTAAATCTAGCACTGCATGTCATACTAGCCAAAATACTTCTCGATTGATTTTTCTTGAAATTTGAAATTCTTTTTATTAACAAAAACTTTAATAACAATGATTTGATTTACTTTGAAATCAGTTTGTTTATACATGTAAATGTAATATTTGAACCATTATTTTCTTGAATAGAAATAAAGAAATATTTTGTTTTTAATAACCATTATTTATTAATTCTATCATTTTTATACGAGCCAACCTTTTTTTCATGGCGGGGTGGAGGAATAGTTGTATCATAAGGACTGTCAAGTGGCATGGTTTGATTTCTCTCTTGTACGTGACAAGGATTAGGGTCTCTTGTTCAACCTCGTGGCTTTTCTCTGTGTTTCTCGGGTTTCCTCTCACTCCTAAAGACCCCTATATATGTGCAAGCGAATTATTGAAATAAAACCATATGAAACAGTGAGTTGTCATGAAGTCTGTCCTTGGTATGGTATGGTTTTGATTCTAAGCTCTAGTATTACCACATGTCTTATATCATGCCCTTTGATGGCTGACTATCAAGGAGATCCTGGGTTTCATCCCGGTGTTGGCGGAGAAAGTTCCTTAGAATTTTCCAGCCCAGTGTCCTCAAGGACAGCAGTCCTGGCAAGGGAAAAAGGAAAAGTGTCCAGTCCTTCAGATTGAATGATAAACTGAGGCAGCATTTCCATCATTGTACAAGAATGGCATTTGTGCAGAAAAGTATGGCAAAACACTAAAGTCCTATATACACTATTGGTAATAGGTTAATGATCCCCAGACAGTTGGAATTCAAATTGAGAATAGACAATAGAACCTTCAAGTGTGAGATTTTCAAGCTTACGATTATTTTCTCAATGCAGACACTTTTTTGCTCAAACTGGTTCTTTGAAATAAGGCTTAAGATAGAGGATGCTATATGGAATCCTTGTTATTGGATCAAACCAGAACAAGAGATTTTTATAGATGGGAATAACAATTTCATTTCGCGAGCTTTAACATCACCCTCCAGCGTTGATTTTACCAGTGAAAAAATGACAGAGAGTAAGATATCATCTAGATTTAATTGGACTGGGAAATATGTAACAAAATACTTTGAGCAACCAAGGTAGGATTCTGAAATAAACAGATTATATTTATATATTAAATAAATAAAGTAATTGGAATGCTATGAATATTTTAGATAATCTAAGAAGGAATCAGAATGCTATATTATATTTTAAACTGGAATGTTATATTGTAATTTAAATTGGAATGCTATATTATATTTTAAATTGGAAAGCTGTATATAGACTGAAAGAAATTCGCTTTTAACTTGTAAATTATTTTAAATTTGAGCAATAATTAATACAGTCATGGTATATACCACAGACTTAACACTTGACTCCATTCTATTGATCTATTTTTCCTGTCAGTTCTAAATATTAAGGCCACCTGCAGATTTACTCAAGGTCACAAGATGTAAACAGGGTTAAGGCATGCGATTGTTGCCGAGGATCTTGGGTTGGGTGTTAGGTTAGGGTTAGCGCTAGCGATATTTACATCTTGTGACCATGACGGAATCTGCAGGTGGCCTTAATATTTAGATCTAACCATCGACTTCATTCTATTGATGTACTTTCCGCAGGTCAGCAGTTTCTAGTCATTCAGATGGGACAAAAATCAGTGTGGTGTAATATTTGGTGTTTGATGTTTTGCATGTGCATGTGTAATATTGATAATTTATAACAATATATAAATCATATCTTGTTTACCATGTAAAATCAGTGTAGTGTACTTGACATTTAATGTTTTGCATGTGCAAGTAGAACTATGTAATATTGATAATTTATAACAATATTTTGTCATGTGTATAAATGTTATTGTTGTTATTTCAGAATATGATGAATGTAAGACAGAACTACATGGTTGTGATCATGTGTGTGAGAATACCCTTGGTAGTTTTAAATGTACTTGTAGAATCGGTTACGAACTTCACTCAGACGGCAAACGATGTGAAGGTTAGTATTCAACACTTAGTAATAAGGCTGCGTACTGCAGCTTGAAACACTATAGGCTTCAGGGGCGCTGAAAGAATTTTTATGTGCCATGGCAAGATAAATTTTGGTCCTCCATCTCGCCCTCCCAAACCCGTAGAAGGAATATGCCAAAAATAGGGTTTCTAACGTTACCCCTGCATAGCCAGAGTAGGGCATTGGGCATTGGGCATTGGATCGGGAGCTATGCGGCATAAATACTGTTTATACCTACATAAAAAAACATAGATATTTAAATGGTCCACTAGGGCTTCATGAACCCTGGAGCGATGTAATGACGCACCTCATTTCTCTGTGAGTCTGATGGGCTTGGAACAGTATTGCGGTATACTGTGGTACTTTTATATGTACCAGACATGAAAAAGTATCTAGTCTTTTGAATGGTACGAAAAAACTGAGGTCTTGTGTATGTACCATTGGCAGCACATTAGTAATATGTCTGCATACCGTGACATTGAACTGTATTGCTGTATGCAGTGCTACAGCCTACCTTTATAATTTTTCTTCAGGAAAGTTATTTTTATACACCAAACCATGAGTAAAATTAATGACTTAAAATTATCAGGAGGCCTATGTTCCCAATAGAATAGATATTTATGGCTATATAAGCTATGTTGATGTAATTTATGATGTCTTTAATTATGACCGATAGCCACTGTGGCCCCTTTTGTGTTCTCCAGGATATTCCAGAGTGGTTTCCCTTTGTCAACTGTGCAAGCCAGAGCGTCTTTCAAGAAACAGTGTCTAGTTGTTTGGTGGGTCGAAAAAAACGAGATTCCATGTCCATGTTGGCATGGACGTAAAAGAACTCTTTAGCAAAAGTTTCCTCAGAGCACACTGCATGGCATATACTCAAATTTATTAGCCCGATTCATGTAGAAAAGTAAGATATTAAACCCCATTTCATTTCTCCAAATGTCTAAAAAACAGATTTCTCTTCCTTTCTCTACAGATGCTTGTGGTGGTTATATTAGAGCTCAGAATGGAACGTTACAGAGTCCATCATTCCCCGATTTATATCCACCGAATAAAAACTGTGTCTGGCAGATAGTAGCACAGGATCAGTACAGAATTATACTCAATTTTACACACTTTGATCTCGAAGGCAGCAACGTAAGTATAACAGTTTCTGTTTTGGGAGGAAGATGAGGGGGACAATTACAGTTTCTATGGGGTGGGGGTGGGGGGTTGAGGGAGACGATTAAAGTGTCTATTGGGAAGGGGTGGGGGTCTTCCTTAGCCCATTTGGTGTAAAAGAGTACTGCATTAAACAACTCTAAGTGAGTACATAGGACGTTGGCTCACTATCCTGGAGGCCCTGTGTTTGATCCCTGCAGTTGCCAAGAAAGTTCATCAGGATTTTCACAGAGGGTCTGGCAAGGAACAACGTATAGTCATTCGGATGGGATGAAAAATTGAGGTCCCATGTACTCCTTGACGTGCACATAAAAGATCCCTTGGCAATTCGATGTAAGAGTAGGCCTTAGCGCTGCTGTCAAGAACAATTTCCCTCATAGCACAGTGTATAGCATATGCCCATCTTCATTAGCCCAGTCTGAGCAGAAAAGTGGGACGTTATAAACCCCATTTCATTTCATTACTCGGTGACTTCATCTACTTAAACATCGGCCACTTACAACAAACTCTTCTCTCATAAATATCATGCCCCATGTACACATTGATTTGCATGTAAAAGAACCCTTGACAGTTGGAATTTGATATTAGAGTAGGTCGGCAAAACTTCCCTCATAGCACACTGTATACCTGTCTTCATTTCCCCTTTGGTTTAGAAAGGTAGGATGTGAAACGCCATGTAATTTCCTAAAATGAAATGAAATGGGGTTTAATGTCCTACTGTTCTACACCGACTGGGCTAATGGAGACAGATTTCCTATCCTACTCATTGACATCATCTAGTTGAACACTTACATGACGGCCATTTACAATAAATCCATCCCATCATTACTACATAAATATTTTGTTGTTACAGCAAGATTGTGAATATGATTCTGTCCGAGTGAGTAGTGGAACTGGGAAAGATTCTACAGCTCATGGTGTCTTCTGTGGATCATCTCTTCCCACATCTGTAACATCAGAAGGAAATGTTCTACGTCTCGAGTTTAATTCTGATAATTCCGTTCAAAAAACAGGATTTAAATCATTGTTTATGACAGGTAGGCTGTATAGTGATTTTCATGTTGAAAAATAACTAATTCCAGTGCCATAAATACCAGGCGTATGCATGACAAGAAGTAGAGTCTCTTCCCTAACCATGTGAGTTTTCTCCAGGTTCTCCTTACATTTAAGCAAATTATTGAATTCCCGAAATGACTTAGTTTGTGTTGGGCAGACGTTAAAACCCCATCTCACTCTATTAGCATCAACCAACAGTTCTGAAATTACAATGAGTAAAGCGCTGGCTCTAACCAACTCGGTTTCCCCCTTGTCAGTGGTGCAGGAGTGAGAGCCAGGCAAGGAACAGCATGTAGTCTATCGGATTGGACGGGAAAAAAAAGGGAGCACATGTACACCTTGGTGTACACGAAAAAGAAACCTTGACCGTTGGAATTCTAAATAAGAGATCATAGCATCACTGTCTGGACAAAATATTCCCTTCTTTATTAGTCCAGTCGGAACAGAATAGTAGAATGTTAAACTCTATTTCTTTCCATTTCTTTGGTCATATATTGTTGTTACCCCCCATCAACTTGAGATTATCATTCATTTATTCAGAAATTACAAGTTGTTTATTGAAAGTCATGATTTTTTTTGTTTAATTCAGATAAAGATGAATGTGCAGAAGATAATGGAGGATGTCAACACATCTGTAATAATAATGTAGGCAGTTTTACGTGTGCCTGTGATAATGGTTACACTTTACATGAAAACAAGCTCGACTGCAAGGAAGGTAGGTCAAAATAATGTGGATTACATTCCACAATGGAGAAATATCCAAGGTTCAAATCTTGATGCGAGTCAAGACGGAACTTCCATTGATTTTTCAAACTCAGTTGTCAGAGGTGGCACCTACCAAGGAAAGAGTGCCTTGTTGTTTGGATGGGATAAAAAATAAGGGTCCACACCTCGCATTGCACATGTAACCAAAGAAATAAAATTTAGAACATGTTAGTCTTAAAATTCACAAAGTTTTGTATTGACGCGTCTTTAAACCCCAACCATTCATTTCCATACATTCCACAATAAAAATCTGTATTCTCCAGTGAAAAGTGAGGTTAGATGGCCAAATGGTTAGCATGTGTGCGCTGTATCATAACGTCAACTGGCATGTTTTCGATTCCCCGGTTGTACGTGACAAGGAGTAGGGTCCCCTGTCCAACCTCGTGGGTTTTCTCCTGGTCCTCCTGTTTCCTCCCACTGCTAAATACCCCTACGCGCAAGCGAATTATTGAAATAAAATTGAACCATATCTTAGTCCCAAAATGACCTAGTTTGTGTTGAGTGGACGTTAAACCCTATTTTTCTCTCTGCAATTTCTGATAATAAATTCATTTTGATTTGTATTAAAATTGATGTAGAAAACTTTGTTTTAAGATTTATCTAGGATACCACTTTTAATTATGGCATCTAAATTTCTAGGATATTACCTTTAATATAGGCCCCTAATTTTTTGTTCTAATCTTCAGGTGGATGTCAGCATGAGATTACTGTGCCGTCTGGAGAGATCAGTAGCCCTAACTGGCCCCAATTTTACCCAAGTCGTAAAGACTGTGTGTGGCACTTCACCACGAAACCTGGTCACAGAATAAAATTGGAATTTAACGATTTTGAACTGGAACCACATCAAGAATGTACCTATGATCATATTATTGTATTTGACGGAGATGATAACACCGCTCGGTCCTTGGGTAGGTTCTGTGGTAGTAGTACTCCTGCTCCTATTATTTCCAGTGGTAACAGAATGTATATGGTCTTCTACTCTGATGCGTCTGTTCAGAGAAAAGGCTTTCACGCTACACATGAATCAGGTTAGTATTTTCATTGAAAACGTCGAAACGTCACCCAAATAAATCAGTAACTGTTCTTCCATAAATATGTATCATAGTTTATTGCTCTATCCAGTTGCTAAATGCATCTAAACAATTAAGACTATTGGATCTTGTGTAAAGTGCAGTATTTATCACTCCAGCTGCAATTGTCTCCTTTGGTGCAGTGGGCGAGGCTCCATGAGACAGGCACAGTAAATAAGGTGCTCACTAGTCCTAGTTTCGATTCTGGTGTTGGTTGCTAAAGCTCCATTGTAGGTGGTGTAGGACAGAGGATTTGGCAAGGAACACCCTCATGGACGAAAAAACAAGGTCCTGTGTACACCCTGGCATGCACGTAAAAGAACCATTGAAATTTGATGAAGTGTAGGCCGAAATGCTGCTGCTGGGCAAAATTTACATAATGGCTCACTGCCTGGCATATGCCCAGCTTCATTAGTCCTGTTGGTACAGAAAAGTAGGACATTAAACCCCATTTCATGTCAATTTAAATTTGTACGGAACATGTCAAGCATAGCTTTAAAAAAAAGCCTCTCAACTGCACAGAAATAGAAAATACAAGTCAACAATATTTTATTAAACCTTTATGTAACTAACTGTAAGAGAAATGAAATTGGGCTTAATTTCCTATTTTTCTGCACCACCCGGGGAAGTGGGCGGGGTCTAATCAAGATGAAGAATCACCTGTATGTGTAATTTTCTTTCGTAGTTTGTGGAAGTCATTTAATAGCAACGGATAAACCCCAGGATTTGTTTTCACACGCTAAATATGGAGACCAGAATTATGACAATCGGGCGGAATGTGAGTGGAAGATTGAAGCTAAGGAAGGGTTCAGGATACAACTCAGATTTTTATCTTTTGAAATAGAAGATGAAATAGATTGCTCGTAAGTTTTAATTTGTTCAAAAGAAATACAGATAAGGATATAATTTGCTTATTAAGCAAAAGTATTTGTGTTAAAGACTAGATTAGTCTAGCCACCTTAAGTTATTGGAGGATTTGGGAACAGTTTCTTTACTGTGGACTTGGTAATTGACCAGGGGGAATCTTGGTCTGTATTAGTCTAGCCACCCTAAATTATGGGAGGGTTTGGGTAACAGTTTGCAGAGAAATCCTCTTTACTGTGGACTAAAATGAGTAGGTCAGCCCATCCCTCCGCTGTTCTTCCTGTCTTCCGCTCCATCCCAGCAACTGAATGCTGAATAAGCTGTCAATCATCTTGTCAGGTAGTTCTTGAGAGTGTGAATGCAGCCTCATTTCATTCACAATTAAAATTATTTACACATCTAATGGTAATTTTTGATAATCCAGCTGACAAGACTGGTTCAGTTGGTTTCGACACTCAATTTCTTATGTATTTTTAAGCTAACAGAAGTTTAATTTGTGTTTGTATAATTTAATAGATATGATGTAGTAGAGATTCGAGATGGAATAAAAGATGACAGTACAGTACTTGGACGTTATTGTGGTAGTTCGGTAAGATATATTATAATGATTCGTTTCTGGGGCTTAACATCTACTACCGGTACTAACGAGGGTGGTATCTAGTTGTTTCGCCTTGTCAGTGGTGCAGGACGGGGTGGACCTAACAGGGACAGCGGTCTTGTCATTTGGATGGAACAAAAAATGGCAGTCACGTGTACACATTGGTATGCCCGTAAAAGATCCTTTGGCAGTTGGAATTCGATATTAGAGTAGGCAGTAGCGGCACTGTCCGGGTACACATTGGTGTGCCCGTGAAAGATCCCTTGGCAGTTGGAATTCGATATTAGAGTAGGCAGTAGCGCCACTCTCCGGGTAAAATTTTCCTCATAGCACACTATGGCGTATTCCCATCTTCATTAGCCCAGTCAGTACAGAACTGTAGGATGCTAAACCCCATTTCATTTCTAGTTATTTAATGTGTTCACCATAGGTTCCAATTCGACCATATATGCCGGTCATGACAGCTTGAGTCAATGTACAGGCTGTAAAACTTACACATTTTCTTATATGGCGACGATCGACCTCTACCATGTAAATGTAAAATTAAATTTTATGGCTTGTACATATTGCACACATATAGAAGCCATTAGCTCATGATTTGTGTATACATAGCTGCTAATAGAGGATTATACTGAGTGTTTTGTTGATATTTAATGATGAATGTCTGGAAGTATAACAGTAAAAGTTAATTATGTTGGAATCTTACCAATGGCATGAACTGGTTCTGCACGTTGTAGAGCATAAGATCTAGCTGTTACCTATGTAAGTTGTGGGTTCTGTTTCATAATTGTTGTAGAGGATTGCCAGTCTAATCTTGTGAATATCTCAAGGTAGACTAATGATATATTGAAACAGAATACTATCTTAGTAAGTGCAGGAGGACCACACAACACACAACCAAAACTGACAACTTCATCTTGGAATATTCCATCTTCCTGTGGACATAAAGTTTTGTGTATGAAACACGCCAAGTTTGTGTATGTCTGATAATTTTGTTTTACCTTTGCTTGTTGTAAAACGCCAAAGAGCCGTCAAATTGACTGAATGTTCAGCGCTCTAGAAAATGATTATTTTTTATTATACATGTATTTAATAAAACAAAATCATTTTTTTTTTCTCACCAGGAACCAAAAGAAATAATTTCATCAACAGAATATTTGATGATTCGATTCAAATCTGATGATACAATAAACTGGAAGGGCTTCCAAGCTGCATATAGCCTTGCTGATCCACAACATATAGATTACGATTTAAAAGAACTGGATACAGAGTTCAATTAATCTACCAATTAAAGTGCTTGTCAAACGGATTGGACCAATGAAATGGATCCATGTAATTAAAGAAACCAATAAAAATGTCCCATCTTAATTCTGATGCATGTCAAGAGAAAAAACAAATCTGTCACAATTAATTTGATTGGTGGGTGATAATTATGTTTATCCAATGAAAAGACCAAAGTGCTTCAAATCTTTTAACAGATGTATAAAATTCAAATATCTGACCAATCACTGGTGGATTTACATGTGTAGCCTACAGGAAGTGCGTGTTTCGACCAATCAGTGTGGTTGTTATATTGGGAGGAGAGTTATGTATTATATATATATTTATGTTTTGTAAATATTGTAGTTATAGTCTGTTGTTACAATGTAACATTATTTATACTGTGTTTTTCTCGGCAGCTGATGATCTTTTTTAATCAGTTGTTATAATATTATCATCCTATTTATGGGGATGCTCGATTGTTAGTCGGGAGCGTTCTGAATTAACAGAATTGCAATGGAGCGATATGAAATTCCGTTCTGTCAGTCCTGATAACCAAGTTAATGCACTTGGAATCATGACATGGTTAAGTGAATTATTTGTAATATTACCATCCTATTTATGAGGATGCTTGATTGTTAATCAGGAGCATTCTCAATTGACAGGATAGAAATGGAGCGATATGAAATTCCGTTCAATCTGTCCTGATAACCAAGTTAATGCACGTGGAATCATGACATAGTTAAGTGAATTTCTGAATTGACAGAATTGCAATGAAGCGATATGAAACTCAGTTCTATCAGTCTTGATGACCAAGTTAATTTGAATAGAATCATGACATAATTATTAAGCACAGCGAATTCACAATAAATTTGGTAGTTTCACTGTTCCTATGACCAAAGAAGAATTGGGATATAATAATACACAGCTTGATATCTCAGACTGATTGAGATATGTTATTTTTCAGTTGGCATATGCATTGTAGACCAAAAGGTCGACAATTGCGATGGAGCAATATGACATATGGTAGTTGTACTAGTTTCATTGATATATCAATTGTTACATCAGTTCCGATAACTGAGATAGAATTGTGACAGCGAATATGTTTAAGCTTTCATGATTAAGATATGTTCTTAAATTCATCAGTCAGCGTATGCATTGTAGCCCCTTATATCACTCGATAATCACTATTCATGGGATTGATAGACTCGTTAACGGAATATCCAATCGCGTATCCTCCATATTTCATCATTCATAGGCCTAAATTGTCCATAGGCAATTCAGGCCTATGGTCATTTATGTTGCAATAGACGTTAAAGAGACTTTAGGCCTTTTTTGTTAGCATTTAGTATATAGAGGGAATTTTAGACACACATATTTAGATTCATGTAGCGGGAATTTTAGGTCTGTTTAGATTTGTCATTAATGTACAAGTCTAGATTTAAAGATATGTACACGATTTAAATTAGGTCATCTTTTTAATACGTTTCTGGGTAGTTTGTATATGGTTGTATTCAGAATTTAAAATATTGAAGTAATATATTTTAAATGTTTTAGAAAGTAACGTTTTTAAGAATAATGGCAAATTATATAACCCACGTTGTGTTGAGGTGCTATATGGACCTTTAGGTTAGTGAACACTCTGCCATTTTACATTTTTATTTATCTTAATTTTAGGAGAGACAGTGAAATGGGGTTTAACGTCCACTAGGTCATTTGGGGACTAACATATGATCCAATTTTATTTCAATAATTCGCTTGCGCATGGAAGGAAACCGGAGGACCCAGAGCAAACCCACGAGGTTGGACAGGCAACCCTGCTCCTTGTCACGTACAAATGGGGAATCGAAACCACGCCATGTGACTCAATGACAGATCTTATTTCACGTGCACATGTTAAACCCCTAGTCCACCCAACCCCCACTTTTTTTTTTAGGAAATCAAGTATTTTAGTTTCTAATTCTTTTTTTTTTATTACAAATTGATGTCCATTGGGCTGAATTTAATATTTTAGTTGAATAATTCAAATAAAGTTTTAAAAATTTATAAATAACTAAAAAAACCTGTTTCAAAATTCAATGTCTTTAGTTGAATAGTTACAATAATGTTTATTTTAAAATATTTATATGTTAACAACTTTTATTCAATTAAGACTTTTGATCATGATTAGGTTTCAAATTAAAGAAAAGTGGTTCGACATTTTAAAAAATAATTAAAATATCTTATCTATACTATGTTGTTTTTACTCATTTTTATTTAATCAAGAGTTTTTTTCATGATTATATTTCAAATTTTTTAAAAATGTGGTTAGACATTTTAAAAATAATTAAAATATGTTTAATATTATGTTGTTTTTCTTCTATATAGATTGTACCTTTGTTTGTTAATATTTTGAAGTAAATAACCTGTACATTGATGTTCAAGGCCTCACCAATTTGATTTTCTGTTCTTTGTGGTCTTGATAAATAAATAGCCACTTAAACATACATTATGCAAGAGCTAAATCTGCCTATTGCATGTCTTTCTTTAGGCATTAATTAACTTAACCAAACCCTAATCAACTCTCGAAGCCATCGTTAGCCTGCGATATTTAGTGAATTTAAATACAATTTGTGATGGATAATTTAACATATAAATGGATAATCGAGACATTGTTTATTATCATATCACGTTAGTAATGACGACTGAGGCTAGCCTAAAATTGAACAGCATATTTTGTTTTCATGATCTATTTTGTAACTATTATAGCGAGAACTATCAGCTCTTTATCTGATCTTACCTAATGTCCCTTTAAATCATGTGAAAAATGTATTTTTAAAATTTCAAAGCTGAAAAATTTGGCACTAAAAGCTTTTGAACAGCACAACAGGGGAGTAATTTTGGTAGATTTCCTGAAGAAATAAGGACTATTTTTACAGGTGTTCCTCAAGAACAGAAAATCCAATTGGTTTGGCCTAGTTGTATTATATATATATGATTGTTTCTATGGTCCGGACTTTAATATGTGTATTTTACAGTATTTCGTACAATAAAATATGAAACTGTGTTTATTAGTTATGAGTTGGATAGCCCGCTTCGCCAGGTGCACAAATTGAACCCAATTATGACCTAAAACATTCATGGGGTCATGCTATGAGGATATGACTTGACTTATAAAATCCACAATTTTTCTAACTTTTTATCAACTTTTTCAGCATGCCCCTGCCCCACTCAAAAAGCTAGAACAGTGCATTTACCAACTGCATGAAATTTGTTTCATAATGTTCAGCATTGTCACATGCATCAAAAGTGATCGTGGGGCTTCCCTAATTGCCCTACCCAACCCCACTAGCTCATTTACTAACCACATAAGACCACATCCAAACATTTTCAGTCGTGAGGTATCCTCGTCGACCTGGGCTCTGTTTCTCGAAATCTTAACTAAAGATAAAATCCATATTTTATTAGATACTTCAGTTTTGACTGGCTAAGCACTAAAATCAATCTAATATTATCCAATCAAATTACTAAAATGTGGATTTTATCTTAGTTAAAATTTCGTGAAACAGGTCCCCAGGACGATTTACTCACTACCACCCAATACTCACTAAATACTACATCATTATGTTGGGTATTATTAGGTAAACTTCCCTCTGTCACATCCAGACGTTCCTATTTCCCCACACCAAAGGCTAAGCCAGATGCACTTATTTCCTTATCACACGAAACTTATAGATAAATGCTCAGCATAAGAATGGCAATGGCCATATGTTTTCAATAGTGGGGTATGCCAGCCAGAAATCTAATTGCTCCATCCGAAAAGCTATAATTACCACATTACTAACGTATAAAATGTACCCGAAAACCACAACTAACGAATCATAAATGGTCACTCCAAGGAATGTTCAGTGATGAAGTATCCATGCCACGCGGAACTGTACAAACTGTAAATCGGATCGTTCCCAACAATAATTGTCTCACCTCGCTCACTTTAACTCTTTATTGCGAGAACGAACGCATCTCTCGATGACCTTAATGATTCATGTCATGAAACCTTGGCAGACGAATCCATTTCTGATCCAGAAGGGGACGTATACTAGTCTTTTTAACTAAACCTACACTGCGGAAACTCTTATAGGGATCTGGGGATCACGTGGCTAAGTGGGTAAGACGCTGGCTACCTAGCCTGGAGGGCGGGTGTTCGATCCCTGCATTGGCCGAGAAAGTTCATCCAGATTTTCCGGCGTGGTTTCCCTTTGTCAGTGATGCAGGACGGGGGGGGGGGGGCTGACAAGGACAGCTGCCTAGTCGTTGGGATGGGACGAAAAACAGAGGTCCCGTGAACAAATTGGCGTGCACGTAAAAGATCCCTTGGCAGTTGGAATTCGATATAAGAGTAGGCCGTAGCGCCGCTGCCCGGGAAAAATTTCGCTTATAGCACACTGCATGGCGTATGCCCGTCTTCATTAGCCCAGTTTAGGAGCAAAACAGTAGGACGTTAAACCCCATTTCATTTCTTATAGGGATCCCTCACTGCGCAAACTCTTATAGGGATCCCAATAAGAGTTTCCGCGGTGTAGGTTTAGTTGTAAATGGCCTCCTAATCCTGCAACAAGATAACAATCAAATACAATTAAAACTTAATACCTATGAGTTTCCGCAGTGTAGGTTTAGTTGTAAATGGCCCCATAATCAAAGGTGTTAAGTTTTAATTGTATTTGATTGTTATTTTTGTTGCATATTCTGTATATATTTGCCCACTATTCACATACCCGTATCATTTGCTCGATAAAGACGAGAGTAACCTCGTCGAAACGTCGCTTAGTATTAAACTTAAAAAAAAATATTGTAGAATTTAATTTGCAGAACGAAAAGAGTTAATATTGCGAGCTAATATCCCACAACGATGTCATCTCTCTTAGTGATTGTAGCGGCCTAGCGAATATTCACTTCTGATAAGTGTGGAGATTAACAATCACTAATTTTATGCTCTCGTTAAGTTTATTAGTCAATTTCATGCTACGTTAAACCCTATTTCATTTCATTTTCATTTCAATTTCATGCTCTCATTTATATCATTCTTAATTGTATGCTCTCATTAGTACCTAGATAAGAAACCTTATCTCTCCAGCCTCCGTGTTTCGAGATAAAAGATGGTGCTATATAGTTCCTTCTTGCAAACTCCGACGGGGATCACATCGGGTCCCAGTAAGCAAAATTGACAACATTTTTCATCAAAACAACGAATGTTTATTTGTTATTCTTAACATTTCTGCCATATTTAACTACAATTAAGCATATAATCCTACCTGACATAGGTACAAATCATGTCTTTTTAAATCCAGGCGATATCGTATGACCGTTTGCATTATCCCTGTGGGAGAGAGAGGGACAGAGACAGAGAGAGACACAATCTGAACGACAGACTCACCCTACCTGCAGAGAAGTGACTCTGACACAGTGAATAGCCATGATATCCATATGACGTTATCTAAACGTCACAGGTCATGAGGTCACATCACCAAACAAATGTAAACACCATCATTATGATCATTATCAACCTTACAAGACACAATGTTACATTGTAAACAATAGCCTTCTTGCAGCCTTTAGGGCTGTATAATCCGTACAGAACGTCTTATCGCTTCTTCCAATGATTTTTCAGAAAAATAACATCATCTACAACTCTAGATTTGACATCGGCATATTGGCACTATTTTGTGCTTCGGTCGTGTCTATTTCAGATATACACAATCAATTCTGTTAATGTTTTTAGCGTGGGGATTGACTAAAAGTTAATTTATTTCAGTTCTAAACAAAAATTTAAAACTTTAACGCAATTTAAAAAAAAAATAGCCAAATCTGGCTGGGATTACTGAGCAAAATGGCCATTCACTGTATACGTGCGAAAAAAAAGCCAGCTACCGTTTAATTTCCGTACGTTAGTTACGTACGAGAGAGACAGAGAGAGCGAGAAATGGAGTTTAACGTCCACTCAACACAAACTAGGTCATTTCGGGATTAACATATGGTTCAATTTTATTTCAATAATTCGTTTGTGCGCAGGGGTCTTTAGCAGTGGGAGGAAACCGGGGAGACCCGGAGAAAACCCACGAGGTTGGAAAGGCGACCCTACTCCTTGTCACGTACAGCCGTGGTTGGACAGTGGAATCGAAACTACGCCAGTTGACTTAATGGCATACCGTATGATACAGGGCGCACCCGCCAACTATTCGGCCATCCACCCCACCCCCTCCTGGCTAGTGAACCAGCGTCTAACACAATGAGCCACCGCGTCTTTCGGTCCTTTCGGGATATACACTGTGTCAATTAGGGCTGTCCTATGTGTGTGTGTGGGAGGGGGGGGGGGTATATGTGTTTGTTTCATACATTCGCCAAACCATAGATTTATGTAACTATACAAAATGCTAATCTTCCTTTTTCTGTTTGATGTCCACAGATATAACAACAGAACGCAAATTTCATAACTGCCCGGGATCAATGTCTTCCAAATTTAATAACTAATTATATGCACGGCAAGGCTAGCTCTTTTGGTCAATAATGCCCAGGACCCGATTAAGGCAAGGACTTTAGGGGTTGAAGAAAGACCTCCAGAAATTAAGTGAAAAGTTACATAAATTGTAAATGCATAATTAGGGTATTTCAAGGATTAAATAGTTTGAAAACAAATTACGCAAAGTTTAATAGGGATCTTTTACGTGCACGCCAACGTGTACACGGGACTTGTGTTTCATACCATCCGAACGACTAGACAGCTATCCTTGTCCGGTCCTCCGTCTGCATCACTGACAAGGGGAAACAACAAATCGGATAAAAATTGTGACCTCTATAGTGTCCACAACTTTGATATACCATATTTTTATGCTATTTGAGAACGAAGGGCGGCCATTTTGTCTGTCAGTTTTGGGCCGATTTTCACGAAATTCGAACTTAGCCGTCCTTAGGGTGTAACGGTGATAAAAATTATGACCTCTATAGGGTCCACAAGCTAAAAACGAGATTTTTCGTACAATCAGGGGCCATAATTCAGGAAGTTTCGGTCCGATATGCGCGAATATCGAAAGGAACCGAGATCTTTGGGTTATAAACTTACATATCAAGTTTCAACAAAATCGGATAAAAATTGTGTCCTCTATAGGGTCCACAAAATTATGACCTCTATAGAATCCACAAGTTAAAAACGCGATTTTTCGTACAATCAGGGGTCATAATTCAAGAAGTTACGGTCCGATATGCGCGAATATCGAAAGGAACCGATATCTTTGGGTTATAAACTTACATTTCAAGTTTAAACAAATTCGGATAAAAATTGTAACCTCTATAGGGTCCACAACCTTGATATACCATATTTTTACGCTATTTGAGAACGAAGGGCGGCCATTTTGTCTGTCAATTTTGAGCCAATTTTCACGAAATTCGAACTCGGCCATCCTTAGGGTGTAACGGTGATATAATAATACGCTTTTTTTTTTAAATCGGATAAAAATTATGACCTCTATAGGGTCCATAAGCTAAAAACGCGATTTTTCTTACAGAGGCCATAATTCAGGAAGTTACGGTCCGATATGCGCGAATATCGAAAGGAACCGAGATCTTTGGGTTATAAACTTACATTTCAAGTTTCAACAAAATCGGATAAGAATTGTGTCCTCTATAGGGTCCACAAAATTATGACCTCTATAGAATCCACAAGTTAAAAACGCGATTTTTCGTACAATCAGGGGTCATAATTCAGGAAGTTACGGTCCGATATGCGCGAATATCGAAAGGAATCGATATATTTGGGTTATAAACTTACATTTCAAGTTTAAACACATTCGGATAAAAATTGTAACCTCTATAGGGTCCACAACCTTGATATACCATATTTTTACGCAATTTGAGAACGAAGGGCGGCCATTTTGTCTGTCAATTTTGAGCCAATTTTCACGAAATACGAACTCAGCCAACCTTAGGGTGTAACGGTGATATAATAATACGCTTTTTTTTTAAATCGGATAAAAATTATGACCTCTATAGGGTCCATAAGCTAAAAACGCGATTTTT